AATAGAATGGATACCAGATATTTTGCCAATATCAAAAATTGGTGAGCTCAGAATTAGATTTGAGTTTGGTCATGTAAAAAACGAAACAAGCCATAGATGGAGAAAAATAGCACTATTAAAAAACTATTAAATTTCATATTTGTAATATTTATATTTATATTACCAGATTTTCATTTTCCTGTCATTTATTATTGATTAAATAAGCTAGGATATCTTTTGAGAAAGTTTTACCACTAAAAGACAGAACAAATATGATTTCATGAATAATTTAACATATTTTGTAAGTATTAAATAGTAAGACCTCTATTATTCGAATCTTATTATCTTATTATATGATTGTTTGAATATCTGTTATTTAAAAATTTAATTATTTGCATAATATTAGTGATAAAAAAAATTAAGTACATATCTATCTAATATATTTTAATATATTTAATATATTTCAATAATAGGCTATATGGATTGGATAGATATTATAGAAGTTTGAAAATGATATCGTAAATGATATAATAATTGAACAAATAAATCATAAAAAAAAATTAAAGATAAATTTATTAGCAAAAATAAAAATAAATCTGATGATGTTTTTGTAAACAGTATGCATTCCTACGCATTTAGAATTATTCATAACGAGTAATAATCCTTATGTTCACTAATGAAATTTAAAAGAAAAAAAATAATATAAAACTAGTAATTTGAAAAATAATTTGATAACTCAGAAGGAAAAGAAATCAAAAAGGCTAAAAAAAATTGATTGAAACAAATATAAATATACAAATATACAAATGTAATAATGAGTAATATATATTAAAACTGTCATATATCACATGAAATACAATTTAAACAATTTAAATTATTCGATTATCTAAAACCATATTACACACATAGATTACTGATATTATTATTATTAGTTTGATTAATCGAGGTCTTACTTGTATTTTAATATATAGTCAGTCGCAAGAATTTTTATATATTATCTTATAAAAAATTAAATGAAATCTTATGAAAACTTTAATTTTAATGAAAACTTATATAAGGCAATGGATTATATATAGAATAATTTATTTTTTAAAAAAAAATTCTTTGAATATGTGAAATCAATTTTAATGTGAATATGTGAATACAATTTCTTCTGGAAATATTTTTTACTATGATAATAGAGCATTAAATATTTTATAATTTAAAATTTTGCTTTAATTTGAATTATTATGAAGTTATCTAAAGAAACAAAAGTAATATTGAAACTTCAAAAATTGATTTCACTTCTTTGAAATGATATCCCATGATAAAAAAATGGTTTCATTATTTACTCATAATATTTCATATAAAACAAAATTATTGTTGATTTTGATAACACAAATTTAATTGAATTTGTGAATGAAATAAATGAAGATTTCTGCGACTAACTGTATATATGAAATTCTTATTAACAAATTAATGAAAATATAAATAAATTTTATATAAAGTGGATTATAATATTTAAATTAAAAGAAGTATTTCGTTTGGCCATAGTATCTAAATTTATTTTAAAGAATAAAAGACTGATCTAATTTTATGTGTGTATATGTACACATAAATATATATATACATATATATATATATATATATTGCATCCTTTTATAAAGGTGAAAATTAAAGAAAAATAAAGATTTCTGATAATATAATAATTATATTTTTATGAAAAATGATCATATATATTATCTGGCAATATTAGTATTTTCTGTTCAATAAATAAGTTCATGATACCATTTGTTAATTAATTTATTATAACTAAATATGTAACAAATTGTGTTAAAATAATGTTGTTAACAGATGTGCTAAATTATTAATTTATAAGAATGTAATATATTGTAAATATATAATACTTTAAATTGAATGCTATTATAAGAGCTAAAATATATTTACATTATTTAATAAAATTTTGTTTTCTGTATCTTAAAATAAATTATAAAAAATGTAAAATATTTTAATTGTAATTTTTTTATTAATATTTAAAAATTTTGTGAAGTTTTTTTGAAATATTTATATAATGCAATGTAATTTATATAATTTAAAAACAAAAAGTTTAATTATCGTAGTTATATATATTATTATGTTATTTTGAATCTTTTGTAGAATAATGCATTTTTATAGATATATCTTTTCTTTCTAAATATCAGAAATTTTATAATTTAAAAATATTTTAATAATAAATAAAATTTCAATTAATTATATAGAGAAATATATATAAATAATTAATTTATTATGAACTCTAATCTTATTCACTTTTATATTTGTAAAACAAATATTAATTTTCAATTAATTTAAAAAAATATATAATTATTATGTTAAATATCATTATTTTTAATTTTAAATTTCATATTCGCGCTCTACTTTGCAGTAAATTTAATCAATTTTTAGATAACCCAAACAATTTTTTATTATTATACTTATTAAAGAATTTATTCTTGTTAATGAAGTTGATAAAGATATTTTTTAGATTTTATAATATAACATTTTTAAATTATAAAAGTATTTATTAATTTTTTTCTTCAAAGTCGTATGTTGTAACATGATGGTCTCCATAACCTCCATGTTCAGATGAACTATTGTATAAAATAGTAATTTATAGGTAAAATGAATCAATGATTTAACAAAATGTTTTGTAAGAAATTATGATTTATAGAATCAACTTGTATCTGTTTTATGTATAAACAATATTATTCACAATTAATTGGTGCAGTGTTTTGAGTTAAGTTTTAAACGGAAGCATTGCCCTGCCGGAAGCTATCTCTGACGTAGAGAGCTAAAGAAGCGTACACTTCCATTTTCTCGACCCTTTCGGCGAATAGAGAGCACGTGTTTGCTCGCCGGTTGCGTTCAGCTCATTTTATCGTACAAAACTTTGCATCACATTTGTTGCCTGTCCAAGTTTGGTGACTAAGAATTGAAAAATTCTGATCTTTATATAGATAGGTTAATATGAATCCCGAAAAATTGAAGAAGCTTCAAGCTCAAGTACGAATCGGCGGTAAGGGAACACCCCGACGCAAAAAGAAGGTATATAGGTTTATTTTAAAAGTTAATATAAGTTTACAATTTTTAAAACTGTTGGTGTGTCGTGAATTTGAAAGTTTATGAATATGTATATATTCAAGTGTCATTTGAACAAATTTATGATTTATCTACTTTTGAAAAGTGTTGCTTGATTCACGATCACTAATTACTATTTTACAATATCAAACTTTTATAATCGGTGTAACGCATATTTCAATTGTTCGAATAAATTATTTTCATGTGTTTATTATTATATTGCTATCTTTGTGGATTTTGTCTTTTATTTTTAATATGTCAAACAATATTTAATTATGTTATTTTTTTATGTACTAAATATAAGTTAAAATTTGATTTTACACTTATTATATCAAACTTAAGAACTAACTTCTTATATTAAAATTCTTATATCTAATTTAAACTGTATTAAACTTAAATTATTTGAGATTATTAATATTATAATATATAAAAATTAAATAGAAGTAAATTTTATTTAAATTATTTTATTTATTTTATTTTTTTCTTATTTAATGAAATCTTTTTAAATAAACAATATATTTATTTGTATGCAATATTATTAATTAATAGTTCTATTTAATATATTTTTAGGTTGTACATGCTACTGCTGCTACGGATGATAAAAAACTACAAAGTTGTTTAAAAAAATTATCTGTGAATACAATTCCTGGTATAGAAGAGGTTAATATGATTAAAGATGATGGTACTGTCATTCATTTTAACAATCCAAAAGCTCAAGCTAGTTTATCTGCTAACACATTTGCCATTACTGGTCATGGAGAAAATAAACAAATAACTGATATGTTACCGGGAATAATAAGTCAATTGGGTCCTGAAGGTGTTACACAATTGAAACGACTAGCAAGTACAGTTTCTGGAAGTACAGTTGGTAAATCAACATTGGAAGAGGATGATGAAGTGCCAGATTTAGTGGAGAATTTTGATGAAGCTAGTAAAGAGGAGGTAATGAATCAGCCTAAATAACAGTAATTGTTATATGAATGATAATTTAAATTTTATATATTATGTATAGAAAAACTACAAGAAAAAGAATTAATATAATGCATGTGTGTTATTATTAGAAATATAACTTTTTCTTTTTGTGACTATAATTATTTTCAATGGGTTAAGAAATATGAAAACTTACATATATATATATATATATATATATATAGTAGGGTAAGTTAATAAAATTAGTTAATAATT